GTAAGTTCGTGAAACTTGTACACTTATGTCATATCCTGTGGCACAAAACAGCAACCATATGACACCGAGGCGAGCGCTCAGTCGGATTCTTGTCGTTGGCTCTTGCTATTGCTGTGTTTGCATCCTAAGAACTCCGATCGATGATAAACCGCTACGTGTGATTCATCTGAATTCCGTGAAGAGCTGAGGCACCTCGCGCAGAATAATCATTTTTGAGTGTTCCCGACCCCCATCTTCATATTCCCCACCCACATGTGCTTGCCCCCCCCCCAAAAAAAAAGCACGGCAGCTGATATGAAACCCCCTTCTGGGCCCACCTATGCCGACACCTTGCTTACTGCCGTGTGTGTGAGCGAAGCTGAGCGCGGTGTCGCTCTATGACTTGAACGATCACGGCTTCATCTACCAGCACAGCATCGACAACCGGATCAAGAGGGACCTCTGGGAGTACTCGCACTCGTGGATGGGCGTGCTCAAGGCGGATTGTCCCCCCTCTTTGTGATCTATGTGGCTACTGGTGCGCGCTCTTGCTGGCTACTCTCGCTTGAGGAAGAGCAAGAGGAGGAAGCAGGAGCTGAGGGATGTATGGGAAACAACGGGGGGGCGAGAGAGAGAGAGTTCGGAAGACAACACTCTAGCTTCCGGAAGAGCAAGAGGAGGGAGCGGAGGCTGAGTGATGTATGGGAAGCAACGGTGGGCGGGAGAGCGTCTGGAACACGCCGGGAGACCGGGCAATCTAAGCATGGGTGACCAAGCCCTGCTACCCAGCAACGTAGCTGGCGCCTCGCTCGCTGGCGGGCTCCGCACATCGGGCTTGGCCTCTGCTCGTGTTTTAGGCCTGCCGCGGCAACGCACGTCTCCTACGTGGCGAGAGAGGGGCAGGGCAAGAACAAGAGCAAGTGCTGAAGGGACAAAAAGGAGCTGTCTTGTCGACTTCACTGCCGTGGCATGCCCCGTCGACTGTACAGGGGGCTGCGAAAACACGCGAAGCATTGATGTAGTGCTCTCCTGTACCCTCGCCCGATGACTCGGCAGGTGGGGGCCGACGAGGATTTGTGGTGGGTAAGTTATGGACTACGCAAGCACGCGTAGGTTGTTGGAGTATTTCGATCCTCGCCGGGTAGACTCTTATCTACTGTACGTGTGCCCATTCGACGTTGTATATCACATAGATTTGTTGGAGTACGGTGTCTGTGGTCTGTTACTGTTCTTTGGGCAGAGTTAGATTGGACTTGCCTCTTTTTACGCTATACTTGGTATTTTCGTATTCCGTCGAACGGCATCGTCTCTTCTCCACTACAATAGAGAGGTGGGGATAACGCGATGTATATGCTGTATTCCTTGTTCACATTATTTCATTTTGTGACAAAGTCTACCATATGCGTCTGTGAATGATGCAGGAACCATGCCATTGCTTACTACTGTCTACCAATTTTTCTCGAGCTTAGGATATCTGTACATATGTTGTGATAACGAAGAACATTCCTATCAAAACATTCACAATAGGCGCTGGCGACCTAGTGCGCTCCACGGCGTGAAACTTGTGTCGGAGTAGCAAGCGAACGTTGTGTTTGAAGAGGCAGGAGAGCCTATAGTCGACGCATTGTATTTGACTGAGCAGAGCAATCCTTTCGTGTTGCGTTTTGGTAAATAAATGGTGCGTAAATATTTATATTTTTTAGACATATCAATGGCAAGAATATCACCAGGGGACTACGGTGATCATGTTGTGGGTATGTTAAGCTCGTGTCCGTTTTAAGCGTTGATTTGAAACCTATCAATTGTGTGTCTTCCATCTGTGTCTTGATGGTACGGAGCCGCGGAGCATGAGGGGTGATTTCATCGTGGTGTGTGTTGCGCTCGTGTGCGTCTTAAACGTTGATTTGGAACCTATCAATTGTGTATCTACGTCTGTCTCTTTATTGTGTTCGGTTAGTTTTCTCCGCCAAACAAAGCAGGACCGTTAAACCCATCTATTTCAATGCAGCTAGTGGCTGTGGATGGGCAAGCGTGGTGCTTCTGTCGTGATATGTAGAATGCGTTGACACGTCCATGCAACGAAATGGGTTGTCGCGTGTTTCACGTACGGATTGCATGACAGCAAACAAGCGTTTATTTCCGCATACAAACGTAACATGAGGCTACAGAACCACAAACTGGATAAGTTTTGGCGGCTGCGCGCAGAATCTGCACAAAGTACTATGATGGGCCGTGACTGTCCGGTAGTTGCGGCGCTAGGGGTATGGGGGGCATATTCAGGAATTGAAGCATCGGACACTTCCCTGTTTGCCCTCTAGCAGTTTCGAAGAAGCGGCGGTCATGCAGCATCTATGAAGAAGGGACTACTTCAACACTTCTCTCCATGTCACGTTTTTGCGAGCGTGTTCATACGCCCGGTGTTTACTTAACACCCCCCACGTGGACGATAGTTAATAAAAGCCGTTAAAGTGCACATTATCACCGTTAACATGTCTATCACACGCCGTACTAAGTCATGCTAACATGTATACCGTTTTTTCCTTTGAGGGACGTATGGTAATATCAGCACGACGGTCGTCAACAAGCTGCTACACTATTTGCTAGATACCGTACGAGAGATGGAGACCATCCAGGAGAGACAATGAAGACAGGTGAGCGCAACTCACCTCCATCACAGTGATTCCCAGCCCCGAGGAAACGGTCTACGCACAGGGGCCTCCAGCAAGTTGTAACAATCACCGAACAAGCAGAGAAGGAAATCACTGGTTACCGCGAGGTAAAAACCAAGAGAAGGGGACTCTCCCATCTTGGCCGCGGTCGATCTTGGAGCTGAAGTCGACGTGGGAGATGGTCCGATTGAATCTCTTGGGCTCTCCTCCAAAGAAGCGGCGGCCGTTGATGGCGGTGCGCAGGGAAAGTCCTCTGGGGCGTTGTGGGTCCCCTCCTGGTGTCCCCCAGCACTCTCCACCTCCGCTACACCCCCGCAGACTGCTAACCGTCCGGGCAGCAGGCTCGTGGCAGTGGAAGCGCCAGGTTGCGCTCAAGCAGAAAATGATGGTTGGGCAGCAACTCCGATGCCCTGCTCCACTTCCCGCTTGGTAAGCTCCTCCCAATCTCCATCGGGGTATTCCACCCGCCAATACGGGTCGCAGTAGTCGTACACCTTGGCCTTGAACACTTTGGACTGTCCTTCGGCGCTAGTAAAGGTCCTTCCCACGACGGTACGCAGGGAAACTTTTCCAAGGCTCGCTCCCGGGACGCCACCTCGTGTTGTCCTCTTGTGGGTCTCCCGGTGGCCGAGGTTCTGAGTCGGGGTGATGGAGTTCCCAAAGCGCGTGGAAGACGTCGAGCTGTAGCGGCGAAAAGCTGTCGCGTGCTTCGTCCTCGGTGATCCTGCTCGATTGTATCCTATCCTGGTATCGACCTCGATACTCCCATGCCCACGTACCAGCGCTCTTGGCCTGTCCTACCCTCCGAGCTGTCACGGTGTAGAGAGGTACGGCGACCACGGAGGTGTCGGTCGAACCCAAGGAAGCCGACCAGATGAGGTGGCTGAACTCGTCCTCGCAGGGCAGTTGGAGATGTGTGGGACGCCGGTGGAAGGGCTTGATGTCGGCAGCCACTACTCGGCGTTGTCGGATGCGTCGTCCGTTGAGTTGCACCGTGAAGCACAGCCGAGCCAAGAGAACGTTGACGACAGTCCACGGTCCCGTGAAGTGCTCATGTGCCAGTTTCGGGTGCAGGCTATCTCGGTAGAGGGGGATTGGGGTCTCGTGGACCAGCACCAGGTCTCCTATCTGTGTCTTGGCTCCCGGTGACTCACAGGCGACCCTGGCGTTGTGACGTTCCCGTTGTTTGGTGAGTACCAGAATTTCTTGCGTGAGATGATGTTGGTCCTCGACCGTTCTCTCCAAGCCTTGGCCGAACGAAGCGGTGTCCAAAGGTTGGGCGAAAAAGTCGACGTGACTGCGTGGCGGCCGACCAAAAAGTATCTGGTACGGCGAGGCCCCTCCCGGCAGGGCCGGATCGGGCGTAACCCGGTGGATTCACGTCGCCACGGGAACGTAGTCGTCCCACCGCTGGGGCCATGCTTTGCACAGGAGGGAGAGGGCTTCCTGCGGCCACCCTCCCATCCGTTCCACCGCTCCCTGGGCTCTGGGATGGTTGACCGGGCCATTGTCCAGCGACACCTTCAGCCAGTTGCACAGGTGTTGCATCACGCGCGCAATGTTCTCGCTTCCCATGTCCGCGCGGATGGAGAGTGGAAGACCAAAGGTGAGGAGAAGCTCCAAACGTTTGCTGCTCGCGCTTAGGGCGTCCTTGTGCGGGAGAGGGAAAGCGGCCAAGAACTTCGACGCGCTGTCCACTACAACCAACAGGTACTGGTTCCCCTTCTCTGACTTGACCTTCATATCCTGGATATCTATTTGTAGAACCTCCCCGGGTTGAAGAAGGCGAGCGGGCATCATGGCGAGTTGCGTACTCCACGCCCGCTGCCTCCGGCGGCACGGGCATGACAAGAAGTAAGCGCGGACGTCCCGCTTCAGCATGGGCCACTGATACTTCCTCTCGATTAGCAGGGTCGTCCTTGCGGTGCCCGGGTGCCCGTACATACCGTGGATGAGTGCCAACATTCCTGGTAGTAGCCGACGTGGAACGGCGATCGCGTACAGTCCTCCCCGCGGTGCGTGCCACAGTAGGTGGTCGTCCGCGAGTACGTAGTCGGTGTCGTCGCCTTGGTCTCCCTCAAGCATAGCTTCGATAGGCCCCAGGGTCGGGTCCCGCTGCTGTGCCTCCGCGAGTTGCACAGGGTCCCGTAAGATGTTCTCCATCTGGTATAAGTTCGCCGAGAGTCCCCGACGCAGTTCCGGTGTGTCCAGCCGTTCGTGGTCTCCATCGTGGCCCTCAGGGGCCCCCGTTGATTCCTCCGTGGTCCCCGGTGGCGAAGCAGATACCGGTGTCGTGACCGACTCATCCTCTTCGCGTTCCTCCCGGGGCACAGGCGTCGATGTTCGGGCTGGCGCCGGTGCCATACGTCTGTTCTCCTCCAGCGACTCGGGTGCCGAGGGCGTGTGGGCGTTCCTAGCTGGCCCCTTGCCTTTCCGGTTAGCTACCTGTCTTCTCCTCTCCGGTAGTACGGCCACTTCTGTCGAAGGAGGAACCTCTGTAGTCGTCTGCGGCGCTTGAGCTTGGCGTGCCGTACGTCGCGTGACCGCCGGAGTAATGATGAATCGTGGCTCCTGTAGGGCGGTGTCGACCGCAGAATCAGCGGTCTACGTGAAGGTGTCGTGTAAGCTGAAGAGAAGGTCGTCGGCTAGGCTGTCGCGTGTGTCCCTGTTCATCGCGACTACGCCACAGACGCACAAAGCAAAGAACACTTCACGCATCATCGGTGGTAGGGTAAACTCTTCGAGTGCCCAGGCCGCGGCGCTGGTCCTGACAGTGGGTGGACTACGAAAGTCGTCTTGTGCCGTGGTGAGCTTCACGAAGTCCTGCCACTGCACATCCTGGGCTGTGTCCAAAGTTCCGGCGTCCTCTGGGTGTGCCTGATAGGCCGCCGGCGGTGGGCGACGTCCCATGATGTGCACGTGGGTGATGGCCGGGGACGGTGCATCAGCTGGGAAGATCGCTTTCTCGCCTGGCGGTCTCTGCAAGAAGTAGTGGCCGCCCCGATCGAGGAAAGAACCGATGGTGGGTGTGGTTGGCGTGGGTTGCTGGATGTGATGCTTCCACTTGGAGAGGTTTGCGGAGAGCTTCGCCATGGCGTCCTCAGGTTGTCGTTTGCACGCTGCGATGAAGACCCTCTGCTTCCGTGTGGGTACGCCCACGTCGACAGCTGTCAGCGTGGCCTCCTCCACAGAGCATCGGTGGCGCTCCAGGAGTGGCCGTAAGGTGTCCCACCACTCGGTGGTCCCCGCAAATCTCACCGGACACTCCACGATCAGGAGTCGTGCTCGGCTCGACAGGAAGATGTCGATGATCTCCGTGGCTTGCCTTGCTGCTGTGTTGCCCGTCCGATCAGGATCATACCGGCGACAGGCGTTGCCGATGAGGATCTCCGGTTTGGCGCCGGTGACAGCTTCCCTGCATCGGGGGCTAGCTAAGGGGGCTCGTAGCAGTTGGACCCCTTGGCCCCACGCGTTGGTTCGCGCACACTCCAGCGCTGTCCATTCGGGCTCGATTGCTGCACCTATCTGTAGCACCTCCCCCAGGGCCAACAGAGCACCGCCAGCTCCACATCCCCAGACAGACGCACGCCCTCGGGTGCCTCTGAGTCAAGGCGCGACGCACATCCTCGTAGGCCAGACATCTCTGGTGGTCCATCGGGCCCGGTGTCTCCGGCGTGTGTTGTAGGGCCCAGACAACCGTCAGGGGTAGCATAGGTCCAGGGTCCACTTCCGTCGCTCCCAGAGCCGCTAACGAAACACCGTCGAGCGTTGGCGTTCCTGTCCCCGATCCGCCGCCGCCGTCAGTGTCGCGCCGTGGGCCCGGGGAGGGGTCGTTCATGTCCTCCCGTGCCAGACTCTGGAGGTGGACACCGTCGAACATTGGCCCTGTGGGTTCGTGACTGCGTCCTTCGGAGGTCGTGGTGTCGTCTTGATCGGTATCCTAGGGCTCCTTATCGCGACCGTCGGTGCGGTAGCTGTTCTTTTCTTTCTATCATTTTGTTTTCTTTTTCCGAGTGGTTTGTACTCTATTCTTGTTTTGTTTCCCCGCGGCGTCGTATGTGCCGGGTTTTGCAACCACGGGCTCCCCATTTTTGTGGACTATAGTCTAAAGCTAATGTGAGAGCAAAAACAACAACAACAATAGGCAACGCAAAATGGATCTCTCAGGATCGCGGTTCGGTTTTGTTGTGCGTTGTTGCTGGATTCTTCTGGTTCCTTGTGTTCAGATATTGCGCGCTGCTGCTGTAGCCGCTGCGCCCGTTGGACCAAGCTGTGGAAGGTGCTGTGAGCTGAGTTTGGAAAGTTTTTTTGAAAATGAACCCACGAAACCTTGAAAAGCTGTATGAAGTCCAGGTAGGGGTGAAACTCTCTCTCTCTCTCTCTCTCTCTCTCTCTCTCTCTCCTTGATGATAATGGGTAGTCTTTCTGTGTGTGTTTTTATTATAAACGAATGGGTCACTGTGGAGACCACCTTCATAAAGGTAGAAACTCCCCAACGTCTGTCGAGGACGATTCCCTCTTTTCACAATGGCGTCGACGTGAGATGTCAGGGTGTCTGCTTGTGGTTGCAAAAGACACGGGTTCAAAACCCGCTGGTCACTAAATTTTCTTCCGGATAACGGAAAAAGAAAAACGGTGGGTGGGCCAAGGGAGGACGCACTGGCTATCGAACTCGGAACTTCTGAAAACGTGGCGGACGTAGCGAACCCGTAAAACACGTACAGAGGATTGTGAGGAATGTGAATCGCCCCGCCGCCAGCCGGTCGGGTTCCGGTTACCCCAAGAAGACTTCTCTTGCCTGGGCAACAAGAAAAAGTCTCGAAAAAAGGGGGGGGTAATGTGGAGACCACCTTCATAAAGGTAGAAACTCCCCAACGTCTGTCGAGGACGATTCCCTCTTTTCACATCACTGGTGGTTGATTTACGACAACACTGACTGACTTTTGCATTCTCTGTGTCGTGCGTGTACACACGTGCAACTGCTGCAAACAATCACTGGCACGTAAGTTCGCCTCTGGGGCCACTCTTCTTCTCCTTTCTTTCTCGCACCCATCTGATCCGACCGCCGTCACGAGAAGACGCCGTGCCTAGTCACTACAGCAGTTCCGCAGAGGTGCGGTGGAATTGCGCCCACAGTGCCCGATTTCAGATTCCCAGATGACGTCATGCACTCCAATCGACAAGGATTTGTTTTTTGTGGGGGTATGGAATCCCTATCCCGGCACCGCTGACGTGGTTTATTTTTTTCCGAATTCCAAATCCCTGTGCAAGGGCGGGTACGCTCTCCCACATCATAGCACACCCACCACCACACTACCACTAGCAGCAGGGAAAGACCTGCCCGAAGCCGTAGTCCGGCCCGTCAAACCAGCGTAAAGTCCGTACGCAGGGGGAGAGATATGAGCGCCAAGGCTCGCTGGAATTACAACAAGAAGGTGTGGTGTGTGTTTGTATACTGCTGCAGTCGGTGTACCGTCGCGCCAAATTGCTTGTTTTTGACTCGATCCCTCAACCATCGGATTGTTGTCAGCGGGACCGATGTCAGAGCGAGACTCCGCCGTACGCACGCTTCCTCATGCGGCGTGTCTTCGCAACGCTGCCGGTGTTGCTTGCAGTAATATTTTTTGTGTTTCGGCAGCGCTGGAAGTGTTTCGCTTCTGCCTACCAGCTGTGTTGATGATGGAACGTCGGCTCAAAGTCGTGAATGGATTGATTGATCTCCAAGCAGAGACGCATGTTTATTTTCGTTCACGGCTGACAATCTCCAACCTGTCTTGACGCATGTACCTCGTCATTATTGTTTTGCGTCCAGCCCACCGGCGAAGTCATGCCCTATGAGCAGGCCAGCTGCCCTGGCTTGTTGTGTGATTGTTCTGGTCCCTCTATCCAGGATGTGCGGGTCATAGACTACAGCAGCAGTATCCGGGAAGTTAACGGAGAGATAGACTATTAATAGAATACTTTCACGCGCACCATGTGTGCGTACGTATACAATCAAATCCAGTCTCTCTTTCTCGCCATCTTACCTTTCGGCATCTATGCTACCTATCGTACTTCTTGTTCCACACCCGACGCGTTTGAGTCCGTTTAACCCCGGCAAATGAGCCACGTCATGTAAGGGATTGTTGTATTCAGGGGGGAGGGGCGATCAAAATGTTAATATTGTAATGTGTTCGTGCGTGTGCCCTACCAATATTTTTTATTGCCTTTTGGTTGAGCTTTGTTGAAGCAGATGCCCCAAAAAAATGTACATATTTGAAGCGGGATCTCTTTGCCAGCAGTCCGTGTTACTCGTGCATCATCTTTTCAACGACACACGGAATTAGCGCAATGCTGTACCTACTATCCTTCGATTGTTTTACACTCGGAATATCCAACCCACTAGTGTCGCGTTTCGTCCGGGGACATTCTGGCCGGTACATGCGGGTGTGGGGGACGGGGCGGGGGGGGGGCAAGGGGGCAACCAGCGTCGTCCGGCGAGAGTGTCTGTTGAGGACGGCAACGCCACCGCTACAGGCCGTTTCGCGATGAAACAACCCCCGTGCGTCGACGTCGTGATACGGCATTTTGCCGAACGGCTGTCTCAGGCTCTCTTTGATTTTTATATGTTCATCCTTTTTTTTTTTTATGCATACCTGGATATTTCTTCAAAATAAGGTAAGTAGTACCATTCTGTTGCTGTACTTGCAGATTTTTCACGAAGCGCATGTATCCGATGTTTGTTGACTAAATAGTCTACTAGGATATACGCGCTTTTGTATCCTTTTTGGCCTGCTCTTTCATGCTCTTTCAAAGAGGGGAAGCTCGTGTGCCCTCGGATGACACACAGCGCAAAACCAAATGTCGTCTTCGCACAAAGAACGCACAGCGGAGTTTGGTGATTCTGGCATCGGGGCCATTTGTGAGGGTATAGCAGTCTTGTGTTGCTGTATGGCAATCATGCACAACAACAAGCAGTGTTAAGACTTTCGTGACCCAATGACACGTGATTAACCGTCTCCCTCCTTCCTTCATTTCCTTCCTTTCCTTTCCCTCTTTTGGTGATGAAATGGCAAATGACCCCGCACCCCCCCCCCCTCGCCCGGCTTCGTTCGAGCAGTTCGCTACCCAGGCTCGGTCAATCTAAGCGCAAGGCACCGACACCGCTGCAGAGAAACGAAGAATAACAAACGAAAAGACTACAATCTCTCTCTCGACGAGGAGGACGTTGCCTAGCACGAAAACCCCGCCGCCTACCGACCTCGCGGCGGCAGCTCAAGCCACGCGCCCGCCGAGGCGGAGACCGCCAAGCAGCAGCGGCCGCCAGGGTACACAACCAAGGCACCAGAAACCCTCCCCCAGGTTGCAATAGTACGGAGACGCTGCGACGGCGATCAGCATCATGTCGACGTCTCGCGCGATCCTCCGCCTGGCATCTCGCGGCCCCAGCGGCGGCGGTCGTCGCCGGGTCCTAACTGCCACTGCCACTAGCGGCGCGCAGCGGCAGGTCGAGCGCGGCTCTGCTCATCCTGCTGCTGGGGGGTCGGCCGCCGGCGCCGGCGCCTCGTATGGCAGCGTTTCGAGGAACGCTACTGCGGGGTCAGCAGCGGTTGGGCGATGCGGTGTCGCGACGAACGGGAACAACCGGTTCTTTTCCTTGTCGACGGCGGCGGCGGCTCCGTCGGCGGCTCGGGCTCCGACTCCGACTCCGACTCCGGTCCTGGCTTCCAGGTAGTAAGCGTCAGGTTGTATCGCGGGTATCTTTTTTCATCTGGATTATGACTGCTTATTTCATCTACGGCGAGACATTGGCGGGGGGGTTACCGTGTTTTGCATGCGTAGCAGCGGTTAGGCCATTGACCATGCGTCCACGAGAGGACGGAGAAATGGGGGGGGGGGGGAGTCGGAAGCGGGCGGTGTTTATGTTGCAGAATTTTCGACTTAGTATCATTTGCAACTTTGTTTGTTCGATGAAATCAGCGGCGCACGCGCGCGCGCGAACGAAAGGGTCGACTCCTTTTGTACAACCAAGTACGAAAGCCCTGTGTGATGAACTCCTTTTGTACAACAAAACACAACGCCGTGTGTGCTGCTGTTGTGGCTGCTGTCATTCTCACATGAATCTTCCGTCCCCGCTCCCCAAACTTTGATATGGACGTCATGTGCACGAAAAGGAGCCCTGCGTCCGCGACAGAGTTCGACACCGACTTGCTGGTGGTTGGCTGCGGCATCGCCGGCGCCTCCGCGGCCCTCCAGGCCGCCAGGCTGGGCATGACGGTGACCATGCTCTCCTCTGCCCGCAACGTGGACGACTGCAACTCGTTCTGGGCCCAGGGCGGCATCATCTACAAGGCCGAGGTGCGGGTCTATTTTGTTTTCTGGTCGGAAGACGAAGGTGGTCATTTATTTTAGCTTTTGGCGTTGATTAATACTGCTGTTGTAGTGCGTTCGCAGGGGTAGCTGGCTCCAGCGGGGTTCTATGCGCAATGCGTGTGTTTCGCTATTTTTCGAAACGACCTGGCTGGGTGCCAAGGGGTCTTTTTTCTTTCTTTTGCACAGCGGATGTGCTGCGCAACGAGCTGGTGTCGCACCTCACGTCTGCGTGGTGTTACTGCTACGCTCGCCCCCCACCCCCCCCTCTGGGCGGTTTGATCCATCGACACGACCCACGTTACACTTCGTTCCTGCACTTGGCGGTATGGCGCCACCACGTTTTGTGAAAAATTCCAGACGTTCTTGATTCCCTTACCCAAGAACCACCCCACGCCAACCCCGAAAACTCCTAATTCATTCTTCAGGACGACTCGCCGGACCTGCTCGCCTCGGACGTCCATACTGCGGGTGCGGGCCTCTGCAACGATCCCGCGGTCATGAAGCTGGCCGAGGAGGGGCCCGGCAGGGTGGAGCAGATGCTTCTCCGCGGCAGCTCTGAGGTGAGAGACGGAGAAGAGAGATTGGAAAAGAAGGCGGTTACAAGACAGAGGGGAGGGGGGAGAGGCTTGCGGCGACGACAGCGACGATAGCATGTGAAAAAATTCTACTACTAGCAGGCGAGACTGCCAGGCTGTGTTTCTTGTGCACGGCGGGACCGAAATCTAAGTCTCACCGCTTTGTATGCATGTATAGCCCCTTCGTACCGTCTCAAGTCCCCCCTACGCCCCCCCCCCCCCCGTAACTGGATAGGTGCCGTTCGACCGAGATGCCGATGGCCGCTTGGCGCTGTGCCTCGAGGCTTCTCACAACCGTGCTCGCATCATCCACTGGCGTGACGAGACCGGCAAGGCCATCACCACGAGCGTACAGGTAAGAAGTTTTTTTTTTTTTTCTTGTTCTTGACTTCAAATCAGCGCTCACAGCACTTTTATAGTGCCGTTTATTCCAACCCGTGGTCACACAGAAGGGCCTCTCATTCCCCTCCCCTCCTGCGGTACGAAGTTAGATACGAATGGGTCACCTAGGTAGAATGCAAGTGCCGTAGGCGGTGGTCGCGGCGAAGAAGCAGGGACTAGTCAAAACTGGCAACACGAAATCAATGATGAAGGCAGGAGATGTGGGAACTAAAAGGTTCAGGACAGCTGTTGATCGTTTCAGTTCCCCCCACCACCTGCGACCTCCGCTGTGTTGGCTCTCCACTTTGCTTTCCCCGGCGCGGCTCGGTTGCCACGCAGAGAAATTTGTCGTGATCCTCCTTTTCCCCTGAACCTTGTGTTGTTCTGTCCCTGGAAAGCATGTCCGCACAGTTTCGGTTACTAAACTTACGGATGTCTACACCGCACCTGAGTCTCCGTGCGAACAGCCGAGACATCGTTCTGCTACACAATGCGCACACGTGGAACACATCTGAGACACGCCTGTCTGCGTGCACCCCCTTTCTCTGTTGTGTGACGTCACCAACGGACAGGCCGCAGCCGCGCAGCACCCGAACATCCGCGTGATGACGAGCACCACGGCGGTGGACCTGGCCCTCGCGGCTGGCCAGTGCGTCGGCGCGCACGTTCTGGTCGAGGTACAGTATGTTACGTGTCCACCTTTACCCCTTAGGATGCGCCGAACCGTCGCATCTCTCTCTTGCCCGGGCCGCCGCCCTGTTTTGGTCCCACTTGTTTTTGTTGTTCTTACGAGTGTTTTTGGCGTTTGACTCTTTGTTCGAGGGCTCTGGGCCCCGAGCAAAAGAATGTGCGTGGGTGTACCAGGTTTGTTGGCTGACCTGTGTGCGTTTGCGCGCGGGCGGCTACACCTTCGCGTCGTACCGCGCCACCACTCCGTGTGGGAAAGCTACGTCCCTCTTTTTTTTTGTGCGGCTCGTTTACAAGCCCGGCGGCCCCGAAACGCCTACGTTAGTTTTGGTTTGTTTCGAACCGCCCCCGCCCCCCGCGCGCGCGCGCTCTTCCTGGGTGCGCTCGCATACAAAAATTATTCCGCACCTGCGATTGGTGGCTCTCAGGATTCCGGCATGAACGATGGCAGCGGCATGGGCCGCGGCGGCGGCTACCACCTGGAGACCATCCGCGCGCCGGCGACCGTCCTCGCGACGGGGGGGCTCGGCGACCTGTACGCGCACACGTCCAACCCCGCGAGCGCCAAGGGCGCCGGCTTCGCGATGGCGCTGCGCGCGGGAGCCGTCCTGTCCGGCATGGAGTACGTCCAGTTCCACCCGACCACGCTCCACATCCCGGGGCAACGGAGCTTCCTGTTGACGGAGGCACTTAGGGGGGAAGGCGCGAGGCTCGTCGACCGCAGGGGGCGCTGCTTCGCCAAGAACTACCACCCGGACGGCGAGGTGAGAACACGGACGGACGTCGTGTGTTGATGCCTGTTCGGGATCACTGCTACGGCTGCTGCTGCTTGTACTATCGCATGTGGCGTTTAATTTTTGCATGTTTTTTTTGTGTGTGTGTGTGTGGGCGGGGGGGGGGTGCCGGTGCTGCAGGTGATTGTTCGCCTATTTATTTGAAAGGACACCTTAGCCGAAAGGACGTCTTTCTGCTGAAGTTCACCCAACGCGTTTCTCGAGCTCCGAACCCCCCGTTTCTCGCGTCCCTGTCTCTTGCCTGCCTGCGCGATACACGATCTGCGGCCATGTCTTTAGATCGCTGCGCATCATGTGTCGGTTCGCGTCATGTTTTTCGGCGTTCTGTTTGCTCTTCCTCCACCTTCGACCGAAGAACTGACTTTGTCGCCCTGCCCTCCTCTCACTCCGCTTCCTACGTGCGTGTGTCGCTTCCTCCCCCCCCCCCTTACTACTTTTTTACGCAATAACCAGCTCGCCCCGCGGGACGTCGTGAGCCGGACCATCCTGAGCGAGATGCGCCTCCAGGGGGCCCCCCACATGTACCTCGACATCTCGCACCGTCCCGCGGACTGGATCCGGGGCCGCTTCCCTTCCATCTACGAGCACTGCATGAGGCAGGGGCTCGACATGACCGTGCAGCCGCTCCCGGTCGTGCCCGCGGCGCACTACTTCTGCGGCGGCGTCGCGACCGACCTGACGGGGCGGACGACCGTACCTGGACTGTTCGCTGCCGGTAAGGATAACACGGATGACTTGTCACTTGCTTCGAAGTGGTTGAAATTTTGTCCGTGGGTGCCATATAAGTATAGATGGAATAATTGTTGGGGGTTGCATGTGAAAAAGAAAAGCATGTTCTGTGCGCGTTTTTTGCGGGTTGTGGATCTCGCTTGGTTGTCTTGGGGTCTCTATCCAAATGTGCGGCTCATGTCCTCGCTGTAGATGAGGACCGGATCGCCACTGCTGTCTTTTTTCCCACGCGTGCTAACGCGCACACCCAAACCACGGCCCGCTTCTCGTTCCGCAGGGGAAGTCGCCTGCACCGGTCTTCACGGCGCCAACCGCCTGGCGTCGACCTCCTTGCTGGAGGGCCTCGTCTGGGGCTGCTCGATCGCTGACCACCTCGCCGACCGCGGCAGCAAGGACTCCAAGGACGGGCTGGCGGCGTCGGCCGACATGGGCGCTCTCGCGCCGCCGAGGGTCCCGGGGACCGCCGCGGGCGGGGGCGGCCCGGTGGCGTCGGCCAAGGCTCTCTCTTCCGCCTGGAAGGATCTCAGGTGTGTCAAGAGTGTGTCGTGTGTTATTTTGTTGGCATGGACCGCGCTGCCTAACCGGCTGGTCAATGAAAATACGTCAGTCTCAGTGCGGCTGAAAACACAACTTGCGTGGGTGTGTATGTAGGCGGCACAGACCGCGCTCACTGACGTAGTGGCCAATGAGAAGGTGACGCCCCCGTGTAGCAAAAGTGCGAATGTTGCAAGAGCGTCTGGTTCGGTCATCCGCGGGATACAAACGGGCACGCGTGTGTCTGTACTTTTGTGGTTGCGAGGTCCACGCTGACCCGGTCAGATCGTAGCGACAAAAAATAGTAGAAAGTTCGTTCGAAGACCCACAGCTCAGCGTTACAAGAGTAGACCCCTACACCGTATTTCCTGTTTTAGAGGCTACCGCTTTTAGCACTGGCTACGAAACGTTAAACTGAGTTCCGGCAGTCAACCCATCAAAGTTCAGACGTGACCACACGAAACCCATCACAGCAGTAGTTTCTGACGTGTCTTTGCTGCGGTGCCCCCCCCGCCCCCCGCCCCCGCCCCCCCAACGACGATGCGGCGGCAGGACGATCCTCTGGGAAGACGTTGGCGCCGTCCGCAGGAGCTCTTCCCTCCGCGAGGGCGCCCAGCTCCTCTCGGACCTGGCCGACCGCTGCAGCCGCCTGTACGACACGTCCGCCCTGTGCCCCGAGACGGTGGAGCTCCGCAACGGGGTGCAGACGGGGGCCATGATCGCCGCCGCCGCCGCGAGTAACGAGTGCTCCGTGGGGACGCACTTCGTCGAAGAGGAGGACGAGGAGGACGACCACGGGCAAGCCAGGGCCTAGAGCCAAGTGGCGGAGCGTCGTGTCGTGTGGAATGGCGCCACCACCACCACCATGTGGACGTTTTTTTGTTCCCACCGCTAACATTTGGACGACTGGCGTCGTCGGGTCGTGTCGCATCACGCGCCCACAGCCGACATGTGGACGACTCGTGTTGTTTTTTGTTCCCACTACCGACGTATGGACGACAGATGATGTGTTTTGTTCCCGTAGCCGAAATATGGACGACTGACGTCGGTGTTTGTTGTTCCCACCGCCAACATACGGACGCCTGGTGTTTTTTTGTCAAATGTCTGCTGGTACATTTTTTTGGGTCGAATCTTTTTTGTCGAGTATTTATTTTGTGTGTCTCGCGTGTGTAGGCGTTTTGGTGGGCGCGCACAAACGTGAAGATGACCCGTGTTTGCGTCTCGAAAGAGCGTAGGCGTTGTGTGCGCGGTCACACAACATATATTGTAGTGACTGTCTAACTGGCTGAGGTTGTTTGGACGTAAGGGTTTGCGAATGAACATTAGTACATCGGTGTCTGCGTTGCATACATGATCGGTTAAGTACTCGGCCTCGCAGCCACGGTAAGGAGATACAACGCTGTCGGCAGTACCCACATATTTCACATTACGGTGGTTTGGTTTGAGAAATAATAGGACGCCGGGCGAGCTCCATTTTTTGTCAACATGGGCCCCGAGTGACCCACAGAAGACTTCGCATCTAAACATGAAAACCTTGAACGGTGACGTGGGGCGGTGGGCATTCGAGGGCTCTCTCGTGTGTGCGATAAATCCATTGTGCTTCTATCGCTTGCCGGGTGTTGTGCTGTGTTCACGCGAAAGAGGCGTGTGGCGACGGGAGGGGGCGTGTTGCACACCCGTCAGGCTCAACGTAGTGGAAGAAGATGAGGTGTTGCCAAGCACAGGGAGAGGGGGTCTTGGTGACAGGTGCATATATGTTGAAAACAAGGTCGTGGTTGTAGTAGAGGATACCTGTCCGTCGGAAGAGTAGGATTTCTGTATATTGCGTGTGAGTCGTGGAAAGGTAGGACGAACATGTTGGTAAAAAAAAATCGCAAGAGGTCAAAGAGAACTCCGTCCTCGTACATGCGCGAATGCATAGGTCCGTGGAAGATAACGGATGGACATCAAACTTTGACTTGACGTGTCGCGGGTGCGTACCTGCATTTTTTTTTTTCATGTCAGGGTTGATTAATCGTGCGCGTGTTCGGGCGGGGAGTTAAGGCTGATGCTGTTCTGACATTCCTCCACCCCTACTTGCATCCGGTCAAACGCCTTCCACGTGGAAAGGCTAGCACCATCAACGGCAGTCCTCAGAAGAGTCGTCGACTGTTCGGCAAGAAGAACAGGAGAAAATGGTGGTGTCGTTGATTGTTGGTACGCACCCGCCTCACGAAGCAAACACATGCAGCAAGCAGGCGGCGACAGTGTCGACTAATATATTAGTCTCGACAACGTTATCCACTCAATTCTTGTGTTACCCTTTCAGGTGGAGAAGTTCACACCGCCACAAAGACAAGGGCGGCATGAAGCTAGCTACAGGTAGGATTTTCAACAGGCAGGCAAGGGGGAATCTCAAAAAACATCAACACTTTAAGGAACAAAGAAAAAAAACACGCACTCTGGCCACATGGTGGGCACACCGCGAAACTAGCGACGGGAAGAGGCGACAAATACGTTTGCATGCGTACACAAACGCGGAGAGCGAGACACAGCTGACGACAACGTGGGTCGAAGCGACGGGAAGAGGCGACAAATACGTTTGCATGCGTACACAAACGCGGAGAGCGAGACACAGCTGACGACAACGTGGGTCGGGTTGCAACGCCCGCCGCCACCACCACGTGAGGACACCAGCGTTTGCGATGAACTCCCATCGTACCGTCCAAGACAGGGTACAGTGCACACATCGTCCGCTGCCGCGAGAAACACAAAACCAACAGGCAGAATACGAGCTTACAGCTAAACGCGCTGCGGAGGCATTACACCACACAGGAACCATTATTGGGCCGACAGCAGTTGCTCACGTCACGGCAAGGCCAAAAAGGGTCGGTGACTAGTCGCCGACGCGCGCATGCGAAATACTACACAGTTTCACACTACAAAATTGGCGCCGGCATCTCACTTCTACTGCTGTAGCTCCCCAGCGGTGCATCTATTTTACCAACAAAGGACAAAAATTAGAGTGCCTCCCCCCCCGCTCAAAACAATCTTGAAAGGCTAACTCTATATGGTAGCGTCTCCGCAAAGCATCTCGTCCACCAGAGGGATAGCATCCTGCACGCGGAACACGCAGCAGGTCGGTGAAAGACATGATTAGACGACAAGGAAAAGGGGAGGGTTGAGACAAGCACGAGGCACAATCCGTGAGGATGGCTAAAAACCCTGCTGCCCGACCCACGTTTACATGATAAAACGGTTCTTCCCTGCTCTACTCTACGCATACGATTTTCGTGGGTCAACCAGGCTGCACAGAAACCGCTGTTGTCAGCCGCCATCCTACGCATCCTACGCGCATTTGATATCCTGCACCCACTCCACCGGGGTTACTTGTTCCTGTTCCGGAATATATTCCAAGCAGCCCTGTTATTGCACCGCTTATGCATACCTGTTCTTCTTCCTCATCGATGAGCAAGTAATTTCCCGGCGTATGCTCCTTCGCCAGGATCAGTATCGGCTCCAAGAACCGCACGATCAAAAACTCCTTTCGAAACCAAAAACAAACGAGCAAGAGCGGCAGCGGCATCGTCGAGCAAAACCGGAGGAGAATGATTCAGGGGTCGTGCTATATGGTGCTGGGGTCGGAGCTCTTGGCGCACACTCATTTGTTTTATTTCGAGGCGAGGGGGAAGACAAGGACAGGGTTGGTTGTGACAAAAAAGAAAATACGCCAATTTGTGTACGCACCTGTCTTGTGTCGCTGCGTCGGGGTTTGGACAGGAAACAGCTACAGTCCGGGCGCAGGCCACGAAGAGCACTTGGGTACTATCGAAAATAAAGCGCGACAAATCTGTGACTTTTGGCATCCAGGAACTGGTTCCCGGAACGCTTCTTCAAGGAGGTGCCCATCAGTCCGGTAATCGGCTTCTAGTCAAAATCCAAGATATTTGGAGCCGTAAAAATCGAAAACGACCTTCGGGCTTCGAAAGTGTTCATGTCCAATGGGAAATCGATAGAGGGCTGAACCTGACCGGTTCGAACGGAGCTGTTTGGTTGAGCTACATGTAGTTGGAAATTGGGTGAGGCAGGCGGGCATGGTGTTGCTGGGCATCATCGCAACAGACAAAATAGCAGTCTTCATCCAGCCCCTCCCCTTTTCGCCAAGGCTCCATCCACAGCATGCCCCTCTCTCCCCCCAAAAGGTTAAAATATACGCACCTCCCCTTCCAGCAGAAACTCGCCCAGAAGCTCCACCTCATCCGCATCCTCTTCGTCGTCGTCGTCGTCCTCCTCCTCCTCCGCCTCGCCCGCCTCCTCCTTCTCCTCCCCCTCCCCCTCGGGGTCGCCGCCCTCGGCCTCCCTATCTTTAGCCTCGTCTACCAGCTCGTTCAGCCCCTGGACCGTGAGGGTGGTCGGTGTTCTGCGAAGGAAAAACGGGATGGGGGGGGGGGGGTGGGAGTCCCGTGATGTGGCGCAAAGAAACACCGGGGTGGGGAGATGGGGGGAAACGGGCGTCCCGTGATATGGCGAAAATATGAAGAAGACACCCCGTCAGGTCAGGATCGGGGGGCAAACGATGAAGAAAAGCGTTATTCTGCGCCGGTTTCCAAGCATGGCGAAACAGGCATCGGTTTCGCTCTACATGTATGCGTACGTGGCGCCGTTGAACAACGCGTCCTACTCAAAGAAGCCCGCAGGGAAACAGCTTTCGTGCTTCAGCAGAGATAAGGTTTAAGTGTCGAGCATGGTACGATCTCCGCTGCGCACGTGAAAAGGACAACAGGCTGTGGGGGCGAAAACACACTACAACTGGGACAATTATAGCTTGAGCCAGCTCGCACATGATCTTTTGTTTCTGGGCCTCCGAACATAGCTGTGACGCATACTGTGGGATAAAAAAAAACACTAGAACGGCAAATCGAAACACGAAAAAAACAGGCGGGAAGGCGACAGATGACCGGACCTAGGTTAATACCAACGGAAGAAAGAGCAAAAAAAAAGCATGAAAAGCAGAGGCGGAAGCCGGCACAGCGCCACAATTTTTCGACCTCGACGACTCGTGTGTCGCAAGAAATGGCATCAGCTACCGAGCAGTACCTTAACAAGGTGACGCCAGGCCCCAGATCCGCCACGCACGCCTCCGCCAGGGGGAAGAGCTCGTCCATGATGGGGTCGTCGTTCGGCACGGGGCTGACCTCCCCATTCTCGTCGAACGCGATGGCCACCGCGGGGTCCTGAAGGCAGCGGCCGCCGAGGCGTTCGGTGCGAGAGCAAGCAAGCGATGTGAAGCAAACCAGATAGGAGCGTGTGTCGGGATTACGGGGCAAAAAAGCGTCGCGCGAGAGAGATCCAAGCAATGAAACACAGCGCATACGAGCGTGTGTAAGGTACAGAGCAATGAAGCACGGCAGATACGAGCGTGTGTGTTAAGTTTTATGGAGCGTGTGCCCCAGGGTGGGCGAGGGCCAGCAATGAAGCGCGGCAAGTGCTATATAGAGGGAAAACGACACAACAGGGTATACCCTGGTCGAAAAGCGACACACCTTGGTACACAGTCCTTAACAGCAGTAAATGCATTCATATGATTGGTCAGCGCCCAATTTCACCCCGGTACGTCCGAAAAGGTGCAGGGTATACCCTGCTGTGTCTACTTTTCTCACCAACTGTACCCTGTTTTCGGAAGTGTACCCTGACCTGACGGGAAATAAGACCCATTCATCAATCATTCCCCCCGCAGGAATCTTCCCAACTCCTTTTCCTCTCCAACCATGGGGTACCAAACGGCGAATCTTCCCACCCAATAACAACCATGGCAACGCGGCAGGAATCAGTTTCCGCCCCTGCCAAACAACACCAACCATCAACTCTTCCGCTCTAAATCAACAATGAATGGTCGGGCACTACCCCAGCACAGTTGTTCCGTTTGGAAACATACATGCACACGCGTACAATAATACCCCGTGCACCACTGCTTGCTGCAGTCTATATGCCACATGCACGGGTCACGCTACGAAAGCGAGACCGATCCAGCATGGTTGACATGCATATATATATATGCATGTATGGACACAGCACTACACGGGTAACGTTGGGCGCCGCCACTCCCTCTTGCCTGTGCCGTGTGTGCGTGGGTGTGTTGTCTGTTGTGTCTCAATTGCGATGTGTTTCTTGCTTGAACTACTACTACTACTGCTGTAACAGCAGCGGTCGCGCTTACCAGCCGACCAAGCCGACCAACCAATCAATGTATGCAGTAAGAAGACGTCAGGCTTCAGCGGGATGAGCCGATGAAATACACCGCGAGCACAGGGAGGGTGATTGAGTTGGACGACACAGCAGTTGTTAGCACTCGCTCCTCCTTCCATGATTGATGTCAAGGGCGTGTCTGTGTGTGGTGTTGCTGCCTCTCTCCTCCGCCCGCTCAGCGCAGCGCCACACATCATGGGCACATACATGCATATATATGCATGTCAACCATGCTGGATCGGTCTCGCTTTCGTAGCGTGACCCGTGCATGTGGCATATAGACTGCAGCAAGCAGTGGTGCACGGGGTATTATTGTACGCGTGTGCATGTATGTTTCCAAACGGAACAACTGTGCTGGGGTAGTGCCCGGCCATTCATTGTTGATTTAGAGCGGAAGAGTTGATGGTTGGTGTTGTTTGGCAGGGGCGGAAACTGATTCCTGCCGCGTTGCCATGGTTATTATTGGGTGGGAAGATTCGCCGTTTGGTACCCCATGGTTGGAGAGGAAAAGGAGTTGGGAAGATTCCTGCGGGGGAAATGATTGATGAATGGGTCTTATTTCCCGTCAGGTCAGGGTACACTTCCGAAAACAGGGTACAGTTGGTGAGAAAAGTAGACACAGCAGGGTATACCCTGCACCTTTTCGGACGTACCGGGGTGAAATTGGGCGCTGACCAATCATATGAATGCATTTACTGCTGTTAAGGACTGTGTACCCAGGTGTGTCGCTTTTCGACCAGGGTATACCCTGTTGTGTCGTTTTCCCTTATATAGATATGCAGGTAGAACGCTACCGTGAGAGTGAGTTCCTGAAGAACCTTTTCGTCGGGTTCGTCTTACTGGAGTCTGCTCTACGCACGGCTGCCATTTCGTCATGTTCGTCTCAGTCAAGTGCTGATTCGTGATTTTCTTCTTGGGCGTGTTCGTCTCAATCAAATGCTGACTCGTGAACTACTTCTTCGGCGTGTTCGTCTCACTAACAGTGCTCTGATTCGTGTGTCAAGACGGACGAACCTTGGGGAACGCGACGAGGTATCGTTCTCCGCCCACCACCGCGATGCGCTCGGCGTAGCACACCAGCTCCTTGCCAGTCTTGGGACACCCCAACGCCACGGGTTTCGACGCCAGCTCATCTGAAACCTGAACAAGAGGGATGAAAAGTGTTCGTCCGAAGGGAAAAAAAACATACCAGGTGTTACCTAGAAAGCATCGGCGGTGGTTGTACTACATAATGGAAGCACACGAACAGAGACACGTGTAGTGCTTCGAAGTAGTAAAGAGGACGTCAAGTGCAACGACACAAAAACAATAACGACCGGCTAGAGGGATGCAGAGGAGAGGGGTAGAGGGGACGGCTGTCGAGCTCAACATGGGGGCGACAAGAGAGGGACACGGCGTCCCCGGCTTTGGTGGGATGTTCACATGCGAATCGGCCTTCGGCAAGGCTCCATCACGCGTGCACCACACGCCGAAAACGGAATGACGGCCTACAGCACGTCCGCAGGCGGCATGAGGGCACACGTAATTGTACCCCCGAAAGAGCTACGAGAGGCCTTCTGTACCAAAAGGAGGCACGTGTTGCCATTTTACCGGCGGGATAGGTACTCCCTCATCATTTTTTTCTCATGTCTTGTTTGAAGGGGGGAGGGGGGGGGCTCGTGGCTCGTGGCCGCCACGCAGGAAGCAACCTAACCAGCAGCCTTGACTATTTTGCTGAAACCTGCTACACACAGGCGGTGAGACCAGGCTCTTCTTCCATTCGGGCCTGATACGTAGACTGGGCGCGTCCTAGAACCTGACGACAAGCAACAAAATCACACGCCAAACGAGACCATAGTCAGGCAAAAGACTGACTGCAGTTGAAAAAACACGCCGGGTCAGGGCCCCAAAAACAATTCATCGTGATTTTTTTGGTTGCCGTACCTCCTCAAGGGAATCCTTGACGACTTTCTTCTTCTTCATCGTCAACGCCCCACCCGCCGCCCCTCTCCTGTCTCTCCTCGCGTAGCCCACCCCACCCCGTCGGCTGCTGCTGCTGCTATGTTGACACGTAGAGGACGACCACCAACCGCCTACTGCGCCGCACGTGGGCCGCCGCGAGGTGGGATTGACGAAAAACGCCTATTTTTTGTGGAAATCGGATCCAAGCAGATTCCCGCGCGAGTGAAAGAGGAAGGGGGGGAGGAAGGAGTGGGGTAAAAATCAGCAGTGCACTGTAGACTGCCCTGTTGCGTGAGGATTCCACCATGTAGGCTGTTTGTGGTACTTGGATATGAGTCCGATCTGTGCATCCTCTGTGGGGGATACGCGTATGGGAAGTATGGGTGTGATGGGTATGTATGCAGTTGAGGTCCAAGTGCGGGGCCTCCGGGTGAGCACACGGCGGTGTGCTCCCGGCACTTGCCTGAGGGGCTCGCGTGGCGGATACCAGCTTGCCTGAGGGGCTTGCGTGACGGATATATATAATACATGGTCCTTTTTCATCTGCTGTTCCTGGGATAACATAGTACCCAGTCTCAACACCACAGACCGCTGAGGGCGGCAGTGCACACTAACACGATATATCGAGTGGAGCCTAGCATGGTGAGTCCGAGTGGAGCCTAGCATGGTGTGTG